CAGTTTCCAAGTTTTGATTTAGGCATTGATCTACATTGTACACCACAGACTGCTCATAAAAAGGAAGGTCAAAATTTGGAACAAGATAAGACTGGAGACTGTGTAAAGGAGAAGGGAGAAGACATGGACATTGATTGGATGAATGGGTTGTTGACTGAGGCAAACACTGATCACAATTGCCAGGTTTGACACATAAATTTTTAGCAATTAACATCCTGACAATGACCATATTTAATTGCTCATCTTGATGACACAGGAAACTATGCACGTGGTTGAAGCTAATTTGGGAACATTACACAAAATCAGTGACCAGAAAGGCATTGACAATAAAGTCATTGACCAGCAGGTACGTACTAAAACATATAATGCAAAGCTACATGATTATTTATGTTTAATAAAATGGTTGCAATTAGAGTTGAAATTACATACTAAGAGATAAATTATGCTATAGGTGATGGAAGATGGTTTGGAGGAAGGCCAGAAAATGGAGAGTGTCATTGACAATGTGGAAACAGCATCACAAGCTGCTCGGGTATATTTAGTCTAGTTGATATGGAACATTTTTCAGTTGGTAGAGTGTCATTTTGTTTATTTCCAATGACTAATTGTTGCATTACATTTGATTTGTACAGGCAGCAGAGGAATTGGATCCAGCCATTTGGGACATTAGTCCTTACTCTGGACAACCAAAGGTCGCAGAGAGTATCATCAGTTATTTGTTTCCCACTGAACAACCACATCTCCTAAATGATGATCCCACTGAACAACCACAAGTCCTCACTGATATTCCCACTGAACCACCACAAATCATCAATGATATTCCCAATGAACCACCACAAATGCCCAATGTTGTTCCCATTGAACCACGCCAAGTCCTCACTGATATTCCCACTAAACAACCACAAATCCTCAATGATATTCCCACTGAACCACAACAAGTCCTCAATGATGATCCCAGTGATGGTATAGATGCTGAACCACAGCTCAATGTTGGTCAACTTGAGGACATTCAGGATGAACAAGCAGAAGGCCCTGATGCTGAAGAACAACACACTAAGGATATTGCCATTGACCAACCAGAAGACACTACAAGGCAGAAAAGGGTTGTGAAATGCCCAGATAAGTTTACTCATTCTGACAAAAAAATAAAGACAAGAAAGGAAAAGAGCAGACAAGGACCACAGACATCTAAACAGAAAGCCACAGATGGTGGTGATGACAATTCGCAACCCAAGAATGTGGAGGCCGAAGCTGGCATGGCAGAAAGTCATCCCGAAGGGCTGAAATTAGCATTAACTGCTGAGAATGTGGAGTTGTTTTTAGCACAAGGTCTCCTAAGCAAGAAGAAGAAAGCAAATGGCACAAAGTACACAAGCCAGGAAAATGCTTTAAACCCAGAAGAATTTCGGCCACTGTGGGGGCATAACGAAACAATGACAAAAACATGGTACTATGGATTTTTCTACCCTGATGAATGGATGGATGATGTGGTAAGTATGAACACACACATTTTATTAAACAATTATAAAAATATGGTTATGGATTTTTAAATATACTAATGACTTACAATGCTTTATCAACTACAGCATGTAACTGTAGCCTTGAAATTCATGGTCATGAAAGCACAAGAATATGGATTGACCCAG